TTTGAAGGTAGAGCTTTTTGGTAGATTTCCAGTGCTTTTTGATAATATGAAAGTGCATTCGAATAGTCACCCATCTTATGATGCATCAAGCCAATGTTGTTGTAAGAAGTAGCCAAATCAGGATGATTTGAAGGTAGAGCTTTTTGGTAGATTTCCAGTGCTTTTTGATGAGAGGAAAATGCGTTCGAGTAGTCACCCATCTTATAATACACCAAACCAATGTTGTTGTAAGAAAGTGCCAAATCAGGATGATTTGAAGGAAGAGCTTTTTGGTAGATTTCCAGTGCTTTTTGATGAGAGGAAAATGCGTTTGAATAGTCACCCATCTTATAATACACCATACCAATGTTGGTGTAAGAAAGAGCCAAATCAGGATGATTTGAAGGAAGAGCTTTTTGGTTGATTTCCAGTGCTTTTTGATAATATGAAAGTGCATTCGAATAGTCGCCCATCTTATGATACACCATACCAATGTTGTTGTAAGGCATAGCCAAATGTGAATGACTTGGAGGAAGAGCTTTTTGGTTGATTTCGAGTGCTTTTTGATGATAGGAAAGTGCATTCGAATAGTCACCGATCTTCGCATAGACCAAACCAATACCGTTGTAAGAAGCAACGAAATTGGCATGGGTAGGTGAGAGCATTTTCTCTTCAATTTTAATGGATCTTTTATAATATGTAATGGCATCTTTATATTCACCTTGACCATGTTTCACCATACCTAGCATATGATTGATGGATGCCTTTTCTAAATCAATTGTTGTTTGTTCAAGCAGGATATCATAAACCTCTTCGGCTTTGTTGAACTGTCCTAATTTAATCAGTAAGTGACCTAAGCGATCCCATCCTTTTTTATCAGGATGGATCTCTTTACGCATTTGTTCAGTAAGCATATGAAGATCTTGATCGTTATCACCAGTCAATATTAAATTGACTTGCCAAAGACGATTATTTCCATCGAGTTGTTTCATTGGACCAATACGAAAAATGGAATTCATGGAAAAGAGAATTTCTTCTTCTCCTTTGAAATAGCTAACATCATGGACGTTAGCAAATGGTGTTGAAGGAATAGAAGGATCAATTTTAATGTCGAATAAAATACCAACGAGATCGGATGTTGCGGTGGCTCGACGAGCAAAATTCAAGGATACTTGCTGTTTCGTGCTGGTCGATAGAAAATTGTTAAATGATATAAGGCCACCTTGGGTCTTCACCAATCGATCAAAGTCATCTTTCGATAATCCTTGACCACGAAAGACAGTAAATGGTTTCTTATTTGTATGTTCAACACATTGTTTCTTCTGAAGGGCGACAATGTGATTGTGAAGGTCGCGAATGAAAAATCCCATGCTAATGATGAGATCAATCTGCATGTTTCGTAATGAATGATTGAGCATCGAATACAAAAAACCTGGATGCGTATACCACCATATAGGAACATGCTCGTGGTATTCCCGCTCGAATTTCTCTAGATTCTGCAGTTCTTTCTGATTCTTTGCGTATAATTGACGGCAATAAGTAATAAACTCATCGAAATGTTTTTGTTGGAAATCAATAGTTAATAGAATTTCTTTCATTATCTGCGTGTACATAAATGAACAATCTAATTCATTGAGATTTAGTTTGCTGCTTTCATTCCCCATGGGCAGAAAACTGATTGAAATCATGTTTTGATCACATTCTAGTGCGGCTTCTTGAAGAGCTTTATAGATCGAAGCAATATCCGTAGAGACCCCTTTTATTTTTGGCCAATTTTTGACCCAACCTTTATATGCGGCTTGGTTTTCACTTAAAATATAGATACTATTGATTTGTGGAATTCCATGGACGATAGGAATAGTTGTTTGCGCGAAGGTATCAGAAAAGACCATAAATGCTTTTTCTTCGTGAATATCGGTTATAAAATCGATACATTCATTCACCTCAGTGAATGGATATATTTTGTTCACTACTTCCTTTAATTTGCCGATGGTATTCATACAATCGCTTTTGTTCATATTTTGGATATTGGCATCGAGCCACACCAGAATGAAGTTCTGAACCATACGAGTAGAAGGAGAACGTCGAAGCGTTATACTTGTAGATTCAGATGGCGTAGCAGCAGTTGTTGTTGTTATCGGCTTTTTCGCTTTGTCCATGGTGTGCGTAATGTTTTATCAATGAAAAAATAAAATAAAATGACTTGAATTTATATATAGTATGTTGGAAGTTTTTTCTATGTTTCTATTTGTTTTTGTCGTTTGAGCTCTTATCAGTTTTTCGTTTCACTTAAGTGCTTCAATTCTATTTTCTATCAGTCGTTACCCTCAATGTCAGCAGAAAGCGAAAC